ACTAACCAAGAAAATCCATTTTTTAAAAAAAATTCATTGATCTCCCACTTAAAAAAAATCCACAAGACATCTGAATTCCATAATCTTGATTCTATTTCCTATACTTGTTTAGTGGATTATCTCAAATATTCCTACTAAATTAATTCTTAATTATAAATTGGTACTATGAGGGAAAAATTCAGTCGCTTTCAGGATTTTTCTTGAATAAGCTCGAATTTTAATTCTTCAGATTCATTCCCTACTAAAATCCGGTCGATTCATTTGCATGATATTAGTAGTGAAGCCGTATTTGTATGAAAGGCTCTAATGTAGGTCTTTGATTATTATCTTGCTAAATAATTTTGCTGCCAAAAAAAAAAAGAAACGAAATTTGAAAATTGATGAAATAATAATAAATCGTAAGTGAATAATTGAGTAATAAAATTACAAATGTTTCTCGCGGAGGTTGTGCATTGATCATCTGAGAAACTTATTAAACAAATATAATAATTCTTTACTACCTCACCCCAATGCTTTCTCGGTGTTCAACACTTTTTTATAACAGTATATTCAAGACTATTTACTTCAAGATCAAAAATGTCTTCAACAAAAAATGATATGGTTTCTATATAATTTTTAAAACCTTTTGCAATACTTTACAAAATAATGATGATGATAAATAAGTCTATATATATTGTTCTCGAAATAAATAATGTTAACATTAAAAGTTGAATTTACCTTTGACAAATATATTCAACAATTGGAAATGTATCAGAGTATTTAATGGCAAATATCAATAAATTCTTTTCGAAAACTTCAATCATTTGGAATAGCTTTAAAAAAACCAATGTGATTAATTGCGTTTAATTATATATGAATGCGCAATATATATATACATATATATTCTTACCTTTTATAACATTTGAGAACACAATCTTTACTATGATTTTGTCAACAATTTATTGTTAGTTCTATCATCAGCATCATCATCAGCATTATCATCATCATCATCATCAACAACAACAACATCATCATCATAATCAACATCATCTTCCTTCTCCTCTGTATCATATCCCTATTGGATGGGTTAATCGAACGAGTTTGATATGATATAGACTTGTTAAAAATAATAAAAAAAATGGAGTATCAAAAAACCACTTATTATATTCATACAATTCTTTTACTTTTTTTTTATCTTTTATTGATACATGAGAAATTAAAAATGTAAATATAAATAATAAAAGAATAAATAAAATAATAATAAAAAATTATATACAAATATTTCTATGTAAAATTATTCGTTTTCTTTCGTTCATTTCCTTTTTTTTCAATTCGTCCATTTTGATATATAATATGGAGCAAAGATATAAGGTTTGTTTTTTTACATTTTCCGAAAATATCATAGGATAAGAATTTGCCCAAGTACCATTAGTATTTTTAGGTCACATCTTTCCACCATAATGTAATTCTTAAATAAACCATTAAATTATGTGCATAATAATAGGTTTTACCGAAAATTTAAAAAGGGGTTGGAACGTGAAAACTACTTTTTAAAATTTCCTCTGAGAGTTTCTTCCTCATTATACCATCATCTAGTATTATACATATATAATTTGTGTATACCAATTATTTGTATCAGTACTATTTCCATAATAATATGCGTAATCATTAATATCAAATGGTAGCACGACTTTATAAGATTCCTTTTTTTTCCATAATCAGTTACTTCCCCGAATTTTTCCGTCCGCTTACTATTTTCATGAGTTCTGTAAGTTAAGCCAAAACCTTTGTAATCTAATACAGAATTTTGCAGGTTTGTTTCTTCTTAAGTTTCACTTCTGATTGCAAAGTTTTTATAACACAGAGTCTAACAATTATGACTATTAATTGCTTCACAATGATAAAATAAAAATTTTCTACGCTCAATCATTAGATTATGATAAAAAAAAAAGATGGAGGTGAGTAAGTTCTAACCAAGTAATCGATTTTAATTTGTAATTAGAATTATATTTTGGATCTTGTTGTGTTTAAATGATAAATTCTTGAGAATCAACAATTATTCTTGAATTCTCGATACCTCGAAAGTTATAAATAATTACTACTATTGAAAGGTTTTTTTTTCTTTTTTTGTTATCGATACTATTTTATAATATTAAACTTATTTAACTATTGTTTCGAATTGATCCATTGACTTAATTAATCATCTAATTATTGATTTACCTATTTATTTACTCATACATATATCGTAAAAAACATCATAATTAGCATCTTATTAAAAGCAAAGAATGTGTGATGAAATTTTAGTTAATAAAAAAATTTAAAATAATAATTAAATTTATCCAAGAAATTTGATAGATTTCTGCTTTATCATAACGACTAAATAATTATTTACTTTATTCAAATGATTATTCCACAATTCTATTCGCGTTATCCTCTAATAATAATTTAATATTTTAGAATGCATTAATCACAACTATAAGAATACTAATTTTAAAGAAAAATACTGAATTGGATTATTATTTAATTATTCTTTTCGTATCTTATATAATACTATAATAGTTTGCTTAAAATAAGTGAAATTTGTTGTAAAATTTAATTTAATTTAAAAATCTAAAGATCTTATCTAATTATTTTCGAAAGTTTATCCATCAATTTCATGAAAGAAATCAAATACGTAGTATCAATAAAAATATGATCTTATTACAAAAATCCCCAGTATTAAAAATACAAAATAAATAAATTCAGGCATTAAAAAGAAAAGAGAAATCAGGTAAGTGTATTTAAAAAAAAAATAGATTTCATCACAGATTCCATCCCCCAAAAAAAAGAAATCAGATAAAAATATAATAAATACAAAAAGAATATACCTTATTTATCTGTAAAGACATATAAGAAAATGCATACTACTAAAAAATGATAATGAATAAATAAATTAATAACTTAAAATATTTGGGATTAATTATATTTGGTATTTATAAATTGTATAAACTAAAAATTTAGGCTAATAAAATGCCCTGACCCTGAACTCTTGTTAATAATAAAATAATTAGATTCGAGAATTAATTAGATATCGAGAAATAAATAATGATGACTAATAAATTATTTAAAAATATACAAACGAATGGTATATTTAACGTAAGTACTTATCGATAATAAAGCAAAGTAACACCACTAATCATAACAAGGAATTATGTTCTATAAAAGAAAACATGTTTACATTATACAATCCTCCACAAACATTATATTAATTAATTGTATGTCAATTACCAATTTCTGTACGTTGAGAATGTTGTTGATTAATTATTTTTTAAAAAAATTTTCACTTTTTTTCTAAGAAAAAAAAATGTCAACTAAATTTCCCCGGAATTATTGATTTAGATAATATTAAATCAATTCAAGACTTACTGCATATTCATCATTATTAATTAATCGATTCTGATGCAAAGTTACTATACCTATACTTTGGGAAATACCTTTGTTTCATTAAAAAAATTTCACAAAAGAAAGAAGCTTCTAGGAAGGAAATGATATTTAGAATTCGTCCGTGTAAACAAAAACAAATTATACGTATTGTATCAAATATGTTTATAAAATCAAATAGTTATTTCTAAACGATAACATCGAATAACTGTCAAAATATTCTAATTTACAATACCAATCATATGTCATTAGAAACTTTATAAAAAATATTATCGACTTTAATTAATTAAATTCAAAAATAATAATTTGAACTATCGTTTATTTAAATGTGTTGTCGTAAATTAATTATTAACTAATAGTTAAATAATTCATTAAATTAAATACAGTACATAATTTTTTATTTACTTTAAAAAATTAAAAGTGAAAAACCAGATCAAGTTATATCAAGTCATCTCTATTGACAAGGTGAGTAAATATTAATATTAAATTATTTATGATTTCTTATTTTTCTTCTTAATAAAAAAAATTATTTGCTATTAAAAAAATCAAAAAAAAAAAATCATTAGGATAAGGATTTTTTAAAAAAATTTGTGATTTAATGATATGATAAAGTAATAAACTATTTATTTTATATAGTGTTTATCATGATTATGTATTTCTTTAACAGTTAAAACTGATGCAATTAATTCTTATAGAAAAATTTACAGTGTGTAAATTAACTGTACTATCAAAGAAATAATGGATAAACTAACTTTCATTTTAAAGGCATTTATATTTGTTTTTTGATACTATTCTTTCTATAAATTTTCATAAAAAATAAAGAAATAAATTAAAAAGTAAAGACAGTATTTTCGTTGAAGTCTTAATTAATATTTAGTATAATTAAATATTTTTAATTAATATTTTCAAATTTTCAAATTTGAGAATTTTATAATAATGATTATAATAATAATTGAATTTTTTATTTTATTTTTAGCACAAATATTGAAGATATCTTTTTGCATATGCATAAATATTTATTGAAGTTTAAAAGCTTCTTTAACTTTAATAATCATATCGTATTGAAGATATTATAAGAATAATTCTAATAAAAACAACACTAAATGATAATTGTAATAATAACAATAACAAGAGCAACAAGAATAAATAAAATCACTATTTGACTAGTTATTATTCTTCGGTTATGGTTGATGGATACATTAAGGGTTGGATCAACAATAGCTAAGTGGCGTTAAGAAAGTTTGCAGATATGAATATAAAAAAAAAGGTATTATACTATCACATTGGGCGAAAATGTTTGCTATTTATAGCAGATGTAATTTTGGGCTCTTCAATATAAAAAAAATTTCTCCGAAAAATTAAACAGTAGCTTCGTAAATTTCTAAATTTAGAAGTACATAGTAATCAGCCAATTTTTTTAAAAAAAAAAGATGCCAAGAAAATTAGTTTTATTGTCTATATAATATCTAATACACATTACACAAATTGTTTTACAAACTTAATTTCCAGAGTTCGAGAGAAAAACAATAATAAAAAAACTATTTAAAGACGAGTAAATTTTTCTCCATTTTAAAGTTCCACTCTTAATTCAAATAGTAAAAATGAAATCTCAATCGATCTACTCATCTTTATTATTGTGCATTTTAACTTTTTCTCATTTTCTAACAATAGCAGCTGAAAGATGTGTCGATTTTCCAGATCCTTTAAATCTTTCTAAGCAAGTAATTGTAGACTGTCCACCTACTGCGAATAAAGACGTTTACGTTAAGCGTCAGACCACCAATTTCTTTGAAGTAACTCATAATTGTTCTGCTACTGCAGCCTTATGTAATAATATCAAAGAGGCCTTTAATGACGCTGGAAAAGAAATATCAAAAGTATTGAAGTTAAAACAGATAATCAAAGTAAATGCTACTTTTACAGACCTTTTTGATCCAACTTTATTAGGTGAGTTGTTTTGTAAATGTAACTTTCGCAATATACAATATTTATCACTTCCAGATTTATTCACTTTATGATTACATAATAATATTTATAATATTTAAAAAGGTGCTGCTGGTAGTGCACGATATTTACCACTGACCTCGGATGATAAGATCATAAGGCTTTATCCTCAACCTCTTGTAAAACAATTTTCCTTAAGTGTACATCCTGAATATGATGATTACGATATTATTGCATTTTTTAATACAGGTAATAATCAAATAATATTATCAAAAATATCAAAAGAATATTCACAATATTAACAGGTATTATATTATTTTTTTATAGGCGTAGATTGGTGGTTTAAAACCGATAACGAAACAATCGGTTCTGATCAACATGATTTTTATTTAATTATATTACATAAACTTATACATGGACTTGGGTTCATATCAAGTTGGAGTAATCTCCTTGAGACTGTAGTTGATCAAGATATCACTGGTCTTACTCCTATTCCCGATTTCGGTGGTGACAATGACAGTCAATTTGAAGGATTTAAGGAATATTTTTGATAAATATGCAAAGTTCATACGAAATGGTGTAGTAAGCACATCGATAGATTACACTTCCCAATTAAATGAGTCAGTATCTGTTGAAACTTCATTCGATACTAACTTGGAATTTATCACTCAAGTAAAATCTTCTTCACAATGGGAAATTGCAGAATCTGCATTTATATCAGCAACTACTAATGATAGTTTGACCTTTACACCACAAGTTATAAGGAAGTCATTTATTTAGAATCCGGTCTATATCCTTATAATCAAGGTTCTGGCATAAATCACGTCAGCGAAAAGCATTATGATTTAACTCCCAATTTTTTGATGACATGGAGTCAAGCTTCTGGAGAAACATTAGAATACGCAATCCAAAGAGGTGGGAATTACTCATCTCCAATTGGACCCAGAATTTTGTCTATACTTGAATCAATAGGATATTAAACAGATGCTTATCCTAATCCAATTATACCTAGCTATGAACCTTAATGTTGGCATTATGCATTATTATTACTTTCAATAGTTATTTATGGTTATTTTCTATCGCTCTTTAAATAAAGAATGACTCTTCTCCAAATTGATAATCACCTTTATCAGTTATTGTCTTGCTAATAAAAATTATTTTTAAGCTTGTTCACACATGCCATTATTAAATTTTTGTGATATTGTTTTAAATTGTCACTTCTCGGATGTAAAACGGAAAAATTTATTGTCTGGAGCATAGAAGAGGATTTACATTTTCAGGTACATATACTAACAGAGGCCTGCCTACCGCAAAGTTATCTTTTTGATATATCTAAGGTTATTTTTATTTTTAAGTAACGTGATACAACGGTTGTATTACAACCATGTTTAACTGTCACGTGATATATAAATGACGAAATCATGTGAATTTTACGAAAAACAAAATGGAAATGGTGATCGTCAAAGGAGCAAATTACAAAGTGCATCTCATAACCATAATGCAATGACTTGACACTATGACTACGGCATAATTAACCAAAAGAAATTCAAAATAATATTTTTAGCGTTTTTCTTTTTTTTTTACAATTTCATAAAATCCAATTTCCGTTTTTCCCAAAAAGGGGCGATTTTCCTCCAAACGATATCTTAAAATTTAGGAGTCACTCAAAAAATTTACAACAATGCCTATGTATTCGTTACTTTGATATTTCAAATACTGAATTTATTGATAAAAATTATGACTTATATAAAAAAAGAAGATATTTATTTGCATATGGAAGTCCGTAAAATATCCAGTTGTATTAATGAAAGGTAAGGGAATATTTGGACGTTATAATCCTTTAGCATGAGATAATATCAATAATTCTATAATAAACAAATGATAATCTATTTTTTAATTAAATAAATGGCAATATTCAAAATTCAATTCTTAGTTGACTGGAAAGAGCAATTCTTAAAGATAATATAACGTCTTGTCCACCATATTTTGGATATTTTCTTACGGAAGAGTATTGAACCCACAGAACAATGAAAATAATAAGCGATATAAGTACAACTGATGCAATCCCCTCTTGTTGATTTTAAACTTTTTTCCATAATTCGAAAATCATAATTTCCAAAGCATTCACTGGAAATTTTTTTTACGAACCTTCACTTGGAATTATTTAAACAATATGTCAAGAATTTACAATTCAACGTGCTAATTTGTGTAACGATTAATTTCTTTCGAAATCGGAAAGAGAGTAAGTCAAATCGTAATTATAAGAATTCTTTTCTATTGAAAATTGTTAAAATCTTAATGGATGGAATTTTTTTTTTATATTTTATAATTTTATACTTAAATATTTATATATATTTTAATTTTAATGATTTTAAACCAAATCGTTAAGCCATTAACATTTTTTTTAAAGTATACATGATAATAATTATATCAGAAATACTTTATAATTCTCCTTATTTTTGACTTAACGAAATAGAAAATAAAAGTTCAAGCTGCACGATTTGTAGTATAAATAATTTCTCATATTTATTTCCGAATATGATAATTATTTAATTTTAATCATTTTTCTAATAAAGTCATCGATTGATTTCAGCAGCAGTTTATTGATAGATTTCATTAATTATTTTTTGTTAATCACCTGAAATTATGTAAATTACGTCAATTATTTATATTATTTTTTTTCTTATCAATTAATAAATTCATAGAATTCGTATTATACAGTAGATAGATAGAAAGAATTATTTATCATTGTCAATTTCAATTTTTGAGATGAGATAAAAAAAAAATTTTTTTAACAGGACATTGCGTTGTGAAATTGTAAAATACTGTATAATAGATAATAATTCCGGTAATTTATAAATGTTTCTTCAGTTCTTCTACAATGACAATAAGGATATCATTTCTAAATTTCCTTGAATTCCTTCTTTTGAATTGAATTAATGATTTAATAGTACATAATTTACGGGTGTGCATATGGACCTTAAATTGAACACAATTATTACTATTCTTAATCAATGAGCCCAACACTGTTGTTGTGCTAATTGATTTTTAATTATAGTATTTTTTTTTTTAATTGATTAAAATTTGATTTTCAAACATGAAACATCTTAATTAATGATTAATAATAATAATAATAATAATAATAATTAAATGGAAAAGAAAAGAACCAATCCTAAATGGCTAAAAATAAAAGAAAATTCCAATAAATCAACAGAACATTAAATTCGTATGCATATTTTAGTCATGATTATGAAAAAGAAGGTTTTTCTCTAAGATAGTAAAAAAGCTCTCTCTTAAGCAAACCAGTTATAATTCTATTTGCGCAATAAACAACCTATATGTCGGACATTTGATCAAGTTCTGTTGTGGATTCTCTAATGAGATATATATTTTTGAGTATGTTACGTTGCTTAATCTAATTTAAGCTATTTTTTTAGTGCAGAGGGGTTATATACAATCATTTTAACCCAAACCATTATCACTATTATCATATACAGTATAACAAAAAGATTAATTTTTTAGAAAATGGCTAATATTGAAATTATAAATTCTTCAACAATATAGTAACAAAGCCAATAATAATATTATTATTAATTATTATCGAATTACAGTATTCAAGATTCACTTAATACTTTAGCAGAACTCCTACAAAAATTAAAAACCTTACCATCAATTATAATATCATTAGTAATACTTAATAGAGTAGTTTAGTGAAAAACTACAAATAATACTTAAAGTTTTAATATCGATTATTATTTAAAATAGTGAATAATTACGTTGAAGAAAATGAAGAGTTGCTGCTGCTGGATAATATGGTGATGATTATTAATTTTTTTTTAAAAATAATTTTAATTAATAGTTAATTAATTAATTATAAAAATGTTATTTTGGTAACTATATAAATAAAAATAAATAAAATAAATAAAAATAAAATAATAATCTCACATTAAATATATTTAATTTATTATCATTATTATCAGACATATATATAGTTGATTTGATATATTTATGCTGTTCTACTACTATTAATATATGATACCTTAATATCGAAAATAATAATAAATATTCGTACATCTAATGATTTAAAATAAATAGTTAAAAATTAATAAACAATAAAAGTGAGTGGATTAAAATAAATATTTCATTTTTAAAATTTGAACTCATTTTTTGAATAAATTTTCTGCTTGCTTTTCACTTTTTAGCACTAAAAGTAGTAGTTCCAGAAGAGATAAATATGACTTTTTAGATAAATTTGAAAGTAGCATTAGTCATTGATGATTATTACTATTTTATTATATTTCATAAAGTGATTATTGTTTTTTTTATTATATTTTATAAAAAAAATTATCAAATAAAAAATTAATTCTAATTTTTTTTATGTACATAATTATCGTTACGTCGTAAATATTCAATAATTGTAACCCCGATTTTTCATCATAATAAGTTTCGACTGATTCTTTCGTTTAATGATTTATCATTTTTTGAACCTTACTAATTTTAATTGATTCCATTGCATATCAAAAGCTGCTATATGTTTTGCATGAATTCCTTTCGTGAGATAAACTCAATCAACATATTCATTAAAATATTCTCAAGCTTCAAAGATTTAATTCTATCCTCAAATGGTTTGATGTTACATCATATCGTCAAGGTATCAATCATCACAATCAGGCTATTACTTGTGATCATGAAGGATAATGGAAGACAATATCTATAAAATCTTGGATTTTATTGTTGGCAATATTTTTGGCTATAGTTTAGGTTTTACGATTAATTATTTAATAAGGTTATTTAGAATTAATTTAAAAATTTGAGATAAATTTTTTAAAGAATTCTAGCGACAAGAAATTTCTAAAAAGAAAGTCTAAATTAAATAAATCAACTTATTTTATTTTTGAAACCTTCCAATCATCTTCGTAACTTTATTTTTTTTTTATTTGTAATTTTTATTGTTGCGCTTGAAAAAAAAAATCTCATATCTCATACAAGGAACACTGTGAATTGAATTATTCTTTAATGTTTGAAGCATGATTAATAAAATATTAAATCTCGTATATGCAATAACAGAAATATCAAGAAAATATATTTGGATTTGTTTCTAATTATGTGAACTAGGCTTCGTTGAATATAAAAATTTGTTCAATTGTTAATGTATTTATTCCTTCTATTCATTTTTTTTTTTTTTAAAAAAAAATTTATAATTTTGATTAAAAAACTTTAATTTTCATTCTTGTACATACATAATTTATTTATTTTCCTTAACGAGATATTAAAAAAAAATTTTTATTGAAAAAGATTATTTCAATAATATTAGATTTATTATTTTGTTATCCAGATTCCGATTTCTTCGCCATGGAGCATGGACGATAATACTTAAAATCATTTTAGTTCATGCACATAAACAAGAAACACTAATACGTCAACTAACAAATATATTAGAAAGAGTAGCCTTTGTCTCAGGTATAAGTTTCTTTTTTTAATATTCTGATTTCTTGTATTTGTTCTTACAATTAATTTATTTAATTACAGTAACAGGACCTATGAAGTAAAAATATGATTTAAATCATTGATACAAAAAAAACCGGAATCAAAAAATCAATTACAAATTATTACAAATCACATGAAATTTTACTGCTGAATATCAGCTAACTTTATTAATAAAAATTAATACGGTATTTATTTTCAATAATTAATTCACAACGGCACTTCATTGATTTTATGAGATTAATTAGAACGGCTTGTGGAATTTTTTGCCATTCTTCAATCATAAATTGTTCAAGATCGTTTATATTTTTTTGGCATTCTTTTTTCTACATTACTTTTAATAATTGCCCATAGGTTTTCGATCGGATTTAGATCCGGACTGTT